TAGAAATCCAATGGATTTAGGTGAGGTGAACATGGCGGCCACGCTATAGGACCTCTTCGGCCTAACCACCTGTCTGGAAAATTGTGATTCAACCAATTTTGAACATTGCGTCCAAAATGTGCAGGGGCGCCATCATGTTTTGACAGAAAGCTCTAGCTAAACGAGAGTTTCTTAATCGTTTTATGCTCCATCGTTGACAACAATAGCTCATCAAAAGCACAGCTTTTAAGTGGGTAACTAAAACTTAAATCGGTTCTATTATGTTTTGATGCAAACTATCGCTCTCTCCTTGACTGTAATGCGGAAAGATCGGCACGCACGCTTTCATACTGTACAAATACGCTAACCATTGTTTGGATTTGTACTTTCATAGGTGTAAACAAGCCAGTTATTTTGTTGACAAGATTAATTGTAGAAGTGTGTACATATCATTAGTCCCATTCCACGGTAAAGTTTACAAAGGGAAACGTTAGGTTGTTGACCAAGTGTTCAAGTCATCTAAGCCCAGCATGTCTGGTAAGATCTGAACATGTAGTGTAAGCACGAATCATGGCTACGGAAAACATTACAAATCCCAATTAAATTATTGGATAAGTCAGGTAGACGAAGACAATACAAAAGTGGACTATTTTTTGTAAATATGTATGGATTTTCAAGCATTAATCTGATACATATTTTCAGTGAATATAGAAAAATCTTCATTGGTTATTTTAGCAAAACCTGTAGGAATGCTTATATAAAATTGGCGGGTTTTTTGAGGAAAATTCATTCTAGATATAATGATTTAATTTGCTTGAAAAATATTATTAAAAAAACATTCTAAGCCTCTTCTGCATCTTGTCTCGTCTGAAAAAAAACAAACTTACTAATTATGAAGCATTATTGAATACGTAAGCTGCTTTCCAGTGTATTTATGGGAATATAAAATGCAGTGGGACAATATTGGTGCTGAGCATGGTGAGTTACTCCGAGTAGCTTAACTGGGTCACTGAAAAGCAGCTCTATAGTACGCCTAAAAGGACTCCACATTTTCTGCCTATGATGGTTCGAGATTTGGTTAATTTTTAAGAAAATTTTCTATGTTATTTTAGATATCTTGATAAAAAATTTTCATGTGCACTAACTTTTTAAAAAAAGGTTTTTGAGAATAGACCACTTATTGATTTTGTGGAAATCTTACTTTTTTTAGTAAGGGAGCTAACTTAGCCATAACTATTTTGTGTAATAATTGAGATATTTAAAAAAAGCATTTTTGATGAATCTCGATCAAGTTGCGATTATACGTATGTCTTTTCATTGGGATGTTATGAACATAATTTTCGTATCGATTCTCAGATAAATCCACCAGCACCAAATAACTGTTATACTTCAAGGCTAGTTATTCATGGTCTTGTGAATACTTTTATACTCAGCTGGCACAATAATGTTTACTAGTCAGATAAATTAAGCTATGTCATTATCGAAAAACTTACCCCTTTCCCTTTTCCACAAAAAACACTCAAATAATGAACCACTTGGAGGTACACAGGCAGCACGCTATCATAGTGAAAGTCACAGGTAAAATGGATGACGGCAAACGGGTCGCCTCAGGCCGGCCTTCTATTATCCCATTGGTCGCTCGAGGTCGCACGCACATGCGCCGTGGCCGAAAATATTTAATGAATACTTTCTAAATATTGAAGATTTAATATTTTCCATTAATTTCAAAGTAAATGTTTAATATATATTATAAAAGAAATATTGTATTTAAAATATTTAAAAGATATTGAATAAATATATATATACTTAAGATAGGTATAAACTGTATTATACAAAAGTTGCCAAAAACATCATGCAAAATCTAAAAATTAAAATAAAAATGGGGGGTTCCATTTAAAAATCTAAAATGTAAGACAATATCTTATTTTTGGATCAGCCTCTATTGTACGGCTATAGTTGAAATCAAAATTGAGGCCGAGCGTTTTTCCCAAAAATACCAGGAGAGTCACAAACAGGGATGCGACCTTTTCGTTAGGCCACCCTGTATAATATAAACTCTGTACTACAATATCTTATTTTTGGATCAGCCTCTATTGTACGGCTATAGTTGAAATCAAAATTGAGGCCGAGCGTTTTTCCCAAAAATACCAGGAGAGTCACAAACAGGGGTGCGACCTTTTCGTTAGGCCACCCTGTATAATATAAACTCTGTACTACTTCACAAGCCATCCACTGGTAACTGGCTAATGAATAAATCAGCTCCAGCGAAGCCATGTACCTATGTTGACCTTGCACTGATCGGGGTCTGTGATGTAGACAACACACAACACATTCATGGCTCGGGATTAACTTCCGAGGCAGAGCTTCGCACCCGCTAGTCTGGTCGACTGATTAGCAGCTCGACGCAAACCAAACTAGAGCTCTAGCGGTGCGATGTACCTGGTGGTCTTGCACCTATCTGGTGCGTAATATAAACACAACATCTATGGCTCGAAATTAATTAGCAGCTGGACGCGCTAACCTCTCGGATACCCGGCCCAGAAATTTCAAAATGCAACGTATAAATTCATGGCAAGTATTGAGAGCTGACTAGTCTACTCGTTAGCAAATCTTCAACTCTACGTCTGTGATTTGTCTGATGGCTAGTGTAACAAGAATATTAATAAATATTTATTGTACAACAGTTATTTACAATATTCTCTAATATCATAATGGCATCTAATTTTTCCTTAAAAATCTAAACAACACGTTGTAATATTTTAACAAGAAGCTTGAGTGCTGGTGGCAACAAAAATCCAAATCGAAGACGAGGTTTTTCCACCTGTACGGGTGTTCTCTGTAAAAAAAATATTACATTTTATTTTTTCCGATTTTTTCCACAGGGAAAAATTAGATGCCCGAACGGTATTTGACAAGACTATTTCATGAGTAACAGATTATTCTACATGCACTAAGCTGACAAAACATACTACCTTTTATACAGTTTCACAACTTATCCGACAAATTTTAACAACATATGCACTGTTACGAAAGTAGTTGATTTCTCAAGAAAAAATGAAATAAAAGTCCTACAAAAATCGAGATAATAAGATAATACAGTTTAACAGCTCACTCTCTTATAAAAGATGTTCCAATTGTTTCCATTGGCTGCAATGCAAGCTTGGGCGCATCTAATCCAATTTCGGCGCACTAATTCAAACTTACCTCCTTCCTGCTGTGCCTGAAGGCTCAAATTATCAGCAGCCACTGTGATTCGGTCAGGCAATTCTTCAATATTCTGAACTGGAGTACGGTATACCTGATCTGAAAAGAAGTCCAAAGGATTTTGTAATATCTTAGTTGGTATCAATAATACCCGGAAGTATACTAATGGTTTATTATATATCACCGATAACTGTTACAAATCCGGAACCCCGACATACTGTGAGTTAAACGTATCCCGGTGAGAGTACTCATCGTACATGCGCAATTTTCGGGGAACCAGGGGCGTACTTAATATACTACATTCATCTCCCCCGAAAATTGTTAACAGTGATCAGATGGGTAACAATAAAAAAAGAAACAATTAATGAATGGTTAGTATTGGAGCCTATCCGGTACCTTACGGATACGTATGGGTCGTGTAAGTTCAGCCTGTTCACCAATGGAGCTAGAATCCGAGTCACTGACATCCACGCGTTCACTATCCGCGATTCCGACATCCACAAACACATCATCAACCGAACTACCGGCAGAAGTATTTCTGGCGCCATCCACGCAGGGTGGGTAGACCAACGAATAATCATCATTTAGTTCTCTGATCTGATTAGTATGTCTTTTCCAAAGGAAATTTGAATCTAGTGGTCGAACAACGTAAACGTTTTTCCCTAAAATTTTAACAACTTGTCCTTTACACCAAGTTACTTGTTTATCGCGATAATCTTTAACCAACACAATTTGGTCAATATTAAAACATACTTTCCTATTTCCTCTGAAGTATTTTGCGTTTCTTCGTTGAGAACGTTGTATGTTTTGGTAAACATTTTCAAGTTCAACTTTTTCATTGTCTTGGACTGAGCTTGGTCTAAGCATGTCAAATCGAGTTCTCAACGTACGATCTAAAAATACTTTAGCAGGAGAATAACCAGTAGAACAGTGAACAGTATTCCTATATGTCATAAGGAATTGAGCTAATAGTAAATTACAGTTCTTTTGATCACTAACCTTTTTCAAAAAATTTTTAACAGTTTTTACGCCATTCTCAGCTGCACCATTACAATGAGGTTCATAAGGCGGAATAGTTATTAGTTTAATACCATTAACATTTGCAAATTGTTTAAATTCTTCTGACACTAACTGGGGACCATTATCACTTGCAATAGTCTTAGGCAATCCAAATCTAAAAAAAAGTTCTCGCAGCTTTGTAATAGTCATGTTAGTGGTAACAGATGCCATCGGAAATGCTTCAAGCCATTTGGAAAAGGCATCAACGACAATCAAAGAGAAATTGTTTTTCTTCGGTTCAAAAAAATCTATATGTATCCGCGACCAAATGCCCTCGGGTATTGGCCAACATTGTAAAGGTGCCTTGACCGGCGATGATTGCAAGCGTTGACATATGTTGCACTGCTTACTAACACTTTCAATATCATCATTCAAGGACGGCCACCAAAAGTAAGATCTCGCAAGATACTTCATTTTAACAATTCCCAAATGGGTAGCATGCAACTCCTTCAATATCACCTCTCGTAACTGAAATGGTATGATAGCTCGATGTCCCCAAAGCAGGACATCGTCTTCAACATTGATTTCATTTTTCCTACTGAAATAAGGTTTCAATTCATTACTTTTATGACTTGCAGGCCACCCCTTTTTAACAAAGTACTGAATCTGAGGATGTAAGTTCTCTGACCTTGTTAACATCGACTGGTATACTAGAATCGGATTTAGTGAGATAATTTAAATGAATGGAGAAGTCGATCAGTTGCACAGACATGTCATCTTCAATCGGCATTCTGCTTAAGAAGTCAGCTACATTTTGAATGGATGACACATGCTTGATATCAAAATTGAAGCCACTCAGAAAATGTGCATATCTCTGCAGTCTATTTGCTGCCATCACTGGAACACCCGTTTTAGGTCCAAAAATTGACAGTGTCTTATTATCTGTGACCAAGGTAAATTTTCTACCCCACAAATATTGGTAAAATCGTTTAATACTCCAAACAATCGCGGTAGCTTCTTTATCCAAAATAGGGTATGCCAATTCGTTTTTCGAGAGAGTTCTTGACGCATAACAAATTGGCTTTTCGTCATCATTTTCAAAAACATGAGATAAAATTGCTCCCACTCCATAGTCCGAGCTATCAATAGTCAAAGTAACTGGTAGGTCAAGATTATAATGCACCAACACATCGTCAGAACATAATGCAGGTTTAATATACTCAAATGAATCCTGACATGTTTTATCCCATGACCAACTTACATCTTTTTTCAAAAGATTATATAAAGGGTGAAGTATATCTGGAAGATTTCTGATGAAACGATTATAATAAGTGATACTGCCTAAAAAAGACTTAAGTTGAGTGACATTTTCTGGTGGAGAAATGTCGCGTATTGCCTTAACTCTTTCTAAACTTTTATGTAGGCCTGTCTCGTCTATAACAAACCCTAAATATGAAATGGAATCAGCCAAAAACACACACTTTTCTTTTCTAACAGTGAGACCACATTCGGAAAGACAAAGTAAAACCCTTTTCAAATTTCTAATATGATCTTCTTTATCGATACCTGTAACTAAAATATCATCAAGAAAAACACATACACGGGGCATTTTATTGAACAGCTGCTCCACAATTCTTTGAAATTGTGCTGGAGCGCAGTTTATTCCAAACGGCAATCTATTGAATTCGAATAAACCTTTGTGAGTCGAAATAGTCGTAAATTTTTTTGAAGAGTCCTCGAGCTCTATTTGATTATAAGCCGATGAGAGATCAATTTTGGAAAATTGCTTTCCATTTTTCAGTTTTGTGAATAAGTCGTCAATTCTAGGCAAGGGAAATTTGTCCACTAGAATAGCCGAATTAATAGTTACCTTATAATCACAACAAATTCTTATTCCTCCATCTTCCTTCAAAATTGGTACTATTGGGGTACCCCATTCTGAAAACTCCACTGGAGATATTATACCATTAGAGACTAATTTATCTAATTCCTCCTCCACTTTACCTTTAATTGCAAATGGTAACGGTCTAGGTTTATGGAAAATGGGATTTGCATCAAGTTTAATATTTATGGAGATCTTACACTTGCTGAACCTTCCCAAATTGGTTGCAAAAACGCCAGGAAACTCATTACATAGAGCATCAACAGCATCGTTGTTCAAATAATGAATTTTTCTAAATCCCATATTATAATTCCTAATAAAATCTCGACCTAGGAGCAATGGATTGTTACCCTCAACAACAAAAAAGCGTAGGATGCTATCTTTGAAATTAAATTTAACATTTAAGTTTAACATTTAAGATTGTGCCATGTGGGATGATCTTATTGCCAGAAAAATTAATCAAAGAAACATTAAATTTGTTTTTTTCATGACGTGAGCACCAAAATATGTTTTGTAAACATGAAGTGGCAAAACACTAACAGCTGATCCACTGTCAAGTTCAAATTTCAACATGACATTCTCAACTAAAATATCGATATATACTGGCACATCATTGTTGCTTCCTAAGCTAGAAATACTTAGAACTGGGGATGAAAAAACGTCTGTATAATCCTCAGCAATATCATTATTAGGAAAAACATAATTAACGTCCTTAGGTGAGGATTGTTTTTTGTTTTTACACACCACACTGAGATGACCCCTACCGTGACAAGAGTTACAAATATATTCCTTATAGGGGCATACATTACTGTTGTGGTTCCTCCCGCAGCGGAAACAGCCCGGAGAGCGACCAGACGATGTGAACGGCTGTAGCTGCGGCAGCGCCATGTTTGAGCTGTTGCCCCCACTCCTGCGCGTGCCTCCTTGGCTCCGCTGCGCTGCAGGTACTGCTGTCCCTCTATGATACCGTTGAGGATCTTGATGTTGATCGGCAGTGGCACCAACATTTGAATTATTTTGTGTAATTCGAAAAACATCGGATTCTAAGACCTCGCTTTTAACTTCACCAACTGGGTCTCTTATTACTAGCGTTGCTTCGATAATTTTGGCCTTTTCAACAGCGTTATTTAAGGTGGTGTTCTCGTTTAGGCTGAATAATTCAGTTCTCACCTTCCCAGGATTGAACTGCGTAACAAAAATGTCCGTTAGCTTGGACTCAAGCTGCTGACCAAAATTGCAATAGCGAGCTAAACCTTTAAGTCGTACACTCCATTCTAGTGCCGTCTCATTTCCTGATTTGGATGCACTATAAAACTTCTGCCTTTCGATCCATACAACAGCAGTTTTACCATAGTAGTTGGACAATAACTGAACTATGTCTTGGTATGGGGTTTCTTCCGGCTTTTTCGGCATACATAAATTTTCTAATAAAATATACGCCTCCTCAGACAAACTATACAGCAAATGAGCTCTCTTGTCAGCTTCTTCAGTGACCCCGTGTACTATAAAATACTGCTCTAACCTTTTGAAGAAATCTTCCCACTCGTTCTCCTTGGGATTGAATGTGAGCACGGAACCCGCTGCTGCAACTGCCATCTTTCTTGTGCACAGATTGGTTCACCAACAACTGGAGGTTTCAACACAAACGGGGAACCAGGGGCGTACTTAATATACTACAGATTTAGATCGGGAGACCGTGGAGGCCATGCAGTTTGTCCACCCCTTCGGATCCAGCATATCTGGTATACCTGATTAAAAAAATCACGAACTTCTAAACCCGTGCTCGGACCGCCAATGGCACATCTTCAAGAAGGACCGGCAAATCATTTCGAAGAAATTCCAAATACTGGTGACCATCCATCCGATCTGGAAATATGAACGGTCCAATTAGACGTTCATCGACAATACTTGCCCACACGTTTAAAGAAAAACGATGTTGGAAGTGTGTCTGGACTACTGCGTGAGGATTCTCAAAGGAATAAATGTGTGTATTATGAAGATCGGTTATTCCATTACGAGTTAAAACATCTTCACCGGTGGCCAAAATATTAGCTGTAAAACAGGCATTTCGAGCATTTTCTTGCAACAACCACTCACAAAATCCCACTCTTACACTGTAGATAGCAACGCCTGGACTCTCTGGACGTGATAAGGGTTCAGTTGGGCCTCATGTAATATGCACCACGCTGTTGCATATGACGTTTCTGGGATCTGTTGAGCTAATTGCCTTGTGCTAATTCCCGGATTTTCTTCCACAATATCCAAAATTTCATCTTCGGCATTTAAAACGCGTTGTGAGCGAACCCGACCCCCATCCACTCCACGTCTCGGGCGCAAATCTCTACTCGCACGTGCACATCAAACATCCGAATTAAATATTTCGTGATGTGGTATGTGCCTATTCGGAAATCGGTGTGCAAGCAAACGGGAAGCCGCTCGCGTATTTTGCCCTGCTTCTGCGTACGCTAAAACAATGTCCACTAGCTCCTCATTAGTGTACACATGTGCTATTCTTATTAGTAAATAACTAAATAGATAAACTCGTAAAATACTTTCTTATTTAACTTCACAAAAATCGAGCGTTCTTCATTCAGATCACCCACGATACAGATTAACCCTTATTTACACGTTCTTATCTTTATGAAAAAAAATTCTGGTATTTTGTTTTTCTCAGTTGTTTGGTACAACATTTGCTACAATAAATTATTAATGCGTCTTCTAATATCACGACGATGAACGCAAAATGCAGATCTTTATTTTTCAATTTATTATTGAAACTTAGGTTTATAACTTAATTTCTGTAGGGCTTTTATTAAATTTTTTTGAGAAATCAACTTCTTTCGTAACAGTGCATATGTGGTTAAATTTTGTCGGCTAAGTTGTGAAACATGCATATATAATTAATTTGAAAAGTGAAAAGCCGGTAATTTATTTAATCACCGAATACTACAAACTTAATTATTTATGATGCAATTAAAATATAAAGTGCAATTTTGGTACACATTAGAAATATTATTTGAAACCTTTGTTAACTCACTAAAATTACTTTCCAAAAGCTCGTATAAACTGTTTTCATATTGTCGGATGGATTATAACGGTATTATACGGCATACTTTTCTCAATCCCCTGATCAATCACTTACAAAGCGGCTCAATTTCACTACATCACATTAAAAAATTTCCCCGAAATAATTGTAAAGTCTGGTTTTCTTAATGCAAGTTGTTCAAGGGGGTTTTTAAAACATGGACGCATAAGATGGGTCTTTGGTGAGAAAACTTTTTATTCGACAACAAAGAATGAGAAAACGTGTTTTTTGGAATTCAATCGAAAGTCTTGGCAGTAACCAAAAAACTTTTTAAATAAGATTTTTAGGTATTTGTGAGAACTACAGAATGAGATCCGACTTACGGTAAAAAAGTTATGACCGAAAACCGAGGCAAAATGCAGTTTTCGGCACTTGCTGCTAATGCGACGATAATTTCACACAGCTACTTAAAATTCTTCAAATCCGTAGGCTTCATCCTTCTGAGTAAGCACAACAAAATTGGAGTCGATTGGTCAAGTAGTATTTGAGAATTTCTAATTGTTTATCCCAAAACACCTGTCTTCCGGCCATCACTACTAGTTTACTGAGCAATATTCAGAGTTCGTTCAAAGGGCATTTTATAGCAAAATATACAAGCTTACCTTGCCAACATAAATCACAAACCGTTCCTAAAGATAATTATTGTTTTAGTGCAAAAAACGAAGGGCTACGTTTTTTTCTTCTAAACAAATTCAAAAATTTCGTACTTGCTTGTAATTCAACAGATTCGCTACGATATTCGAAAAACATACGTTATTATACACATCTTAAAATAAAGCGAATGTGTCCATCACCTTTTGTTGCAGAGTACACAATTTTTTTCAAGATTTTTTCGTACTCTTGTGCATACATATACTAAGTGACATATAAATCCGAACACCCAGTTTAAATGGTTTTATTTTAATAAAAGTTGGTGAATGTAATTATTTATCTTACTGTAAATAACAAGTGAAAAAATTTTCAGCCTTATCAGTTGGACATTCCGGTTTTTATACTGCTTTTTTTTAATTCACTAACGCTCTAAAAATGAATATTTCAGCCGCAGTAAAGAATCAACGTTGGCGCATTTTGGTTCTTGACATCCTTTACGATCGGTTACGATGCCTAGAGTACGGAGACCTGTACGATTTCGTCAACTTAGTGAGTTTGATAGGGGCCATATAGTGGGACTTCGGGAAGCTGGACTTTCTTTTCGGGCAATTGCAGTTAGAGTGCAAAGAAGTGTAGACACTGTGGTTAGGTGTTGTCAGGCATGGCTTCGAGAAGGCCGTACGCAAAGAGCAAGGGGCACTGGACGCCGCCGTAGAACAACAGACCGTGAAGATCGCCGCCTAAGATTATTGGCCTTAAGGAACCGTTTCTCCACTACCAGGTCCATTGCAAATGAATGGTTTGCAGAACACGGAAGACCTATTGGCATGCGAAGTGTTTACCGACGAATGAGAAGTTTTGGCTTGTTTTCATACCGGCCACACTGGGTCCTCCCTTTAACTCGAGAACACCGACGTAATCGCCTTGAGTGGTGCAGACAACGGTCACTCTGGGATCAGGAATGGAACAGTATTGTCTTTAGTGACGAGTCTCGATTTTGTTTAGGCATGCACGATGGTCGTGCCAGGGTTACAAGGCGACGTGGTGAAAGGAGGAATCCACAGTTTTTTGTTGAAAGATATGTTCATCACACTGTTGGAGTTATGGTTTGGGGTGCTATAGCTTATGGTTCCAGGTCACCTTTAATCTTCATCAGAGGTAACATGAACGCGCTGCGTTATATCCACGAAGTTTAACAACCCCATCTTTTACCCTATCTTGACACCCTGGCAGATCCAACTTTCCAACAAGATAATGCCCGACCACATGTTGCAAGAGTCACAATAGACTTCTTTCAACATAATGATGTCACATTGTTACCATGGCCACCAAGATCTCCCGACTTATCCCCAATTGAGCACGTGTGGGATATGATGGGTAGGAGATTGCTCAATTTACAACGTCCTCCTCAGACTCTAGAAGCACCTCGAGGCGCGTTGGAGAATGCGTAGCACATCAGGGTGCATCCACACATTATTAAAGGTCAAAGGGCTTTCAAGCAGTGCAATCATTTTGAAATTTTTATCATTTACTTATTATGCTTCATTAAGTACTTATACAAAATTTTATTAAAATAAAACCATTTAAACTGGGTGTTCGGATTTATATGTCACTTAGTATATTTAGAGCTGAAATTCTTACACGGTCACAGATGAGCCCTAAAGTATATAAAAATAAATATTTGATACCTCAATGCGCTGAACTGTTTATAAAGTATAATATACGTCGAAATCTCGTACGACTAAAACGACTGCGAGTTCAAAATATTGGAAAATAAACTCAAGAAAATGAAAAAACGGTAGACAAATATCAGCCAGTTGTAGCTCACTGACCGTCTTCAAAATTAGGAAAAATGTTCGGTATTATTCCCTAATACATTATTTAACGTTTCAGCATTCTATCTTGTATAGTTTTCAAGAGTATTCTAATTGTTTATAATAACGGGTGTTTTTTTTTCGAGGTATAGAACTTTAAGTTGGCATTACTTTTCAAGATGGCGACCGATTTGACAGCTGTCAAGTGATTTATTCTCAGTTCAGTTTGTCAATTCACCATGAATAGACTCACGCCTGAAAAACGCAATTGTGCAGTTTTATTTCGAAAATAATGGTTCTGTGCGGAATACGGATCGCACACTACGTCCATTTTATCGTCGTCAAAATCGTCCATCAGACGATTAATTCGATTAACCATGGAACGTTTTCGCACCACGTTTTTTGTAATTGATAACTCGCATCCCCAGAGACGCCGTACAGTGTGTATAGAAGC